ACGATTCCATGAACTTTTTAGTCCGTTTNAATTGCAAAAGACACTGGTCACAGAAATATCCAATCTTTAGATGACTACGATGAAGCAGACGAAGACGAACAGCGACAGCTTTCGTGGGCCATCTCACGAAAGAACAGCACACCGAAGCCAGCGGGTAATACACCTGGTCCTTGTACTTCAAGTGCAGTAATTCCTCATAAGATGAGTTCACAAGCGCAGAATGTAATGAATTCCTTCACCAACTGCAATGTAACATTCAACCTCAACAACAAGACTTCGCCTACCATTCGAACTTGCAAACGGCGATTGCGTTTCATCGAAAGTAACTCCGATACAGATTGAACGATTCCATGAACTTTTTAGTCCGTTTCTGCGGCTTGTAAACTTTAAAAACATCGAGAAAAATGTTGTTTGACTGCACGTGTGATGATATTTGCAGCACTTGAATAAATTATTTTTGCACGTGGTTTACGTGATTTTAAAGCTATCTCGCAATTTTTTCATAAATATTATTAATAAGTAATCACATTATTTTTCTCGTGCAATTTGGAATAAACAAGCACTCGTAAATTTTTTCAAAGACCGCAAATTGCACTCGCCCGTAATTTTGTTAGCCTTTAAAAAAAATTTACTTGTGCTTATTTATTCCAAATTGCACTCGAAATCATGTGATTACCTGTAATAATAATAATAATATAATAATAATGACAATATTTATTGATTTGTGAGACTCGCTGGGAGCGGCCAGGCAAATAAAATCGGAACCAAGGGCAAGGGCAGTGCCATTCAAACCAAGTTTTGACGATAATCTGTTAAGGAGAATGATGTGATCAACGGTATCGAAAACAGCGCTGAGATCAAACAATACAAGCAAGGATAGTAACGTGCTGCTTGTTCATATTTAACAGAATATCGTTCATTACTTTAAGAAGTGCTGTTTCAGTGCTGTGATTTCTTCTACAAGCAGACTGCGCAACTGGGTATAAGTTAACCAGGTGACCATGAATCTGATTGAAAGCAGCCCCCTCAATGAGTTTAGACACAAAAGACAAGTTGTTTACGGGACGGAAGTTCATAAAGATGACATCGAAACCGGGTTTCTTTAACAGTGGAAAAACTAGAGCCTCTTTCCAAATGTCAGGAAAAAGCCCGGACTGCAATGAGTTGTCGACGATTTTTGTGAGAACTAGAAAGGAAGAGATCCTCACATTTGCTAACCAGTGTGGATGGCATTGGGTCAAGAGGGGAGGATTTAACTGTAGCTGCAACCAGGCTCTTAACCCGCAGATGTATTTTTGGTGGCGATGATCAGCGGGCTTTCTTAAACTGTATGGCAAGGTTATTAAAATTAGCAAAATCTGTCCACATTCTTGGCATGCCTGTTTTCTTGCACCCGGTATGAACGGTAAGCCCCGAAGGCCTTGGTGTTGAGTTTAAAGTCCATCTGATCCCTGAGGTAATCACGTGAATCCAAATTTCCGAAGCACATCGAAAAACGTTTGCTCGATTTGTTAAAACGCACGTAATTCCATACCAGTTGAGAGACTTTTCGATTCCCTTGGGAAATCTATTTACCAAGCAAAACGAAAGTGGAGCCTGATCTCAGCTTAGTGCGGGACGAGTGTTTTCGGGAAGATACAATAGGGGTAAAGTCTATCACTCATACGCTTAGTTAATTGCTTGTTTTCCTTCTCTTCTATTATTCCGCGTGTCAGCCCTGATTATTGACAGTGGCCAACCTGGGATGGGTAGATTTACTTAGCTATGGGGCTCCGCCCACGGGCAAGCGCTTCGCGCGCGCGTGGACCTCCGCTATTATTCCGCGTGTCAGCCCTGAATAGGATTATTGACAGCGGCCCACCTTTCGATAACCTATGCGGTAGTCAAAGTATGTCGTATGACGTCAGTTGATGGCATTATACCGACTAGTTATTGACATGATTTGTCCATGAAATCGCTATTTTATTGGTCGCCTGTCAGTTAAGCCGTGATGTCATTGGTGCATTTCGATCGTCATTTATTGTTGGTCAAATTGTCGGTTATCAGTCATTCTCTCGTTCTCAATTTTGTTGAGTCGTGTAACCTTGTAACTACTGTAATATCGTAATTTGTGTAACCTCGTAGCATGTGTAACTTGATAACTTGTGCCACCTAGTAACTTGATTCTAGACACTTTTGTCTAGTCCTTTTAATTAGCTATTTTGATGTCAAAAGTCAGCAAAAACAAAACACGAAATTAACTTGCTCGAAAGAGTACACAATAAGGTTATTTTAACACATTTATTATGTCACTGATTACGTCATTTTACAAAGAAACAAGTATTAGCTATCAACACGAAAAAGTGCCAATGCTCCAGTGTTTTCACCGCGAGAACTAAATTAAACTAGTAGATAAATATATTCAAGAATAAGGTGCCATTGTGATATGTTGCATTACACAATTCCGCCTATTGATCCGCTTCGGCCGCAAAATCGCGGGTCCCATGACTATTTGCTCGCTTACAAAGGATGCCGACGCATGTATTTTCCTTTGACTCTCTGACTGAAGTGCCAGCTTATTTGTTGGCTTCACATTAGAGCTTCAAGTATAATGTAAGACAAAAAGTGTACTTGGAACCCAGCTACTTTGAGTGTGAAGGGGTAAAATGTACCTACTTTAACCTTTCTTGGTGACCATGGAAACGTTCGTAGTTCAAAGAAGCCGAAGTTCGCCGCCAAGTATGGGCTACACTGCAGTTGAGAACACACTTGACCAATAAGAAATGGAAGCCATGTGCACGATATGCACGTGCTGCGGTTCAAGATTCTAATGAACGGAGAGATTACATCAAGTAAGGGGTGTTTACATGAGAAAACTCGCATCGGTTCGAGTTTCATACCGGGATGACTTTTTTATTTCGTATTGCGTTTACATTGTGACTGGGTCATTTCATATCTCGTTATTTAAAGGTACACTTGATAAAATACACGTAAGATTCAAAATGAAACATTACGCAAGCGCTACCCGTTCCAGTCTACCGGCAGACCGATTTCACACCGAAACGCGTGGTTGTTTCGCGTTTGCATGACATCGTTGCGAGATTTCGTACCGAAGTGAAATTCTCTCTCACGCCGGGGTGACTCGCGCGAAATAGCTCTGAAATACGCACTTAAGTTAATTTTCCTCAAATATTTATTTGAATTCATGATAAATACAGCTCCACCAGCTTCAAATAGTGTCTATGGCAACGAAAAATTGTTTTGATGTGACAAAAAATTTATCAATTCATGTGTGTCACTATGGTGTAGTGGTCAAGGAGTTGCTTGCACGTGTAAATAAACCGGGTTCGACTGCAGGCGACGCTGTTTTCTGTTTCTTTATACCGTTTTTTTCCCTGATTGGCCGTTTTTTTTAACACTGTTTTTTCTTTTGGCATTTTTTCCTTTATTCTTACTGCTGACCCTGCTGGTCATGCACTTGGATCAATATATATTTTAAGCTTAAGTCTAGAGTTTTATTTTGGAAAAGGGATTTCAAAAGCTCTTGATCTGCATAGTGACCAAGCTTACGACCAGAAAAAGACCATAAGCTGTCAAGACATGTCCCTCCTCTGAAACAGCTGAATTTTTTTCAATGTTAGTTGGCATCATGACAAACAACACACAGTACACCACAAACTGTACTAATTTACACCCAACACCCACCAGTGACCCACTGGCGAAATTTAAACTTGCCTTTTGTACATCTTCTTAATCATCAATATTATTACCCTAAAATCTCCACTGGGATTGCCACAAAAAATTAATTAAACGAAACCTTTTATTGGTTTTCGGGATTTATTTACAGAATTACATGTGTATGCCCAATACAGTATTAAAATGCAAAAATGCAACAAGATTCAATGCCCACAGTTATTCACAAATACCTGTCATTTAGCTTCCTCTTTCAACGCTACAGCTAAGCGAACTTTGAGAGGAATGATATGGGGTTCCACTGGCTCTGAAGAGCTGAAAATACGCGCAATGTGAAGTATAATACATACTTCTTATTAGCCGAGTTTTCGTTCCGTACTGTAAATTACGGACCGAGTTTTTTTCCATCGATTCATGGCCCACGCGCGAAGCGCGTGGGCCATAAATCGATGGAAAAAAAAACGAGGATCCGTAATTTACAGTACGGACCGAAAAAACGAGGCTAATAAGATGTTTATTATATGGCTTCTTCCTGTTTGGGGGACCGGAAACAAGTGCAGGACGCACGATTTGACAGTCATTTGACAGGTGTCAAAAAAGAAAGTTTTTATTGGCGCACGAAAACAATAGCACATAACAAAGGTTTTCCGAGAAAGTACAAACAAATTCGCCAAGTTAAAAAAGTTTATTCGGTCAAAACTAAGAGCACTGTAAGTTTTAGCTCTTTAATGTAACGCTGGAGTATTATGGAAACCGGACACTGTGTCTGTTTAGAAGTCGTTTCCATCTTTCCTCCGTTTGTCCTTGTGAAAAAACACTCCAAAAGACAAAGAAGCTTTTCAAGGTAAGTTTGTTGTCATTGTCGAAGGATTCGCTCGTTAATTGTTTTTGGGAAAACCTCTCTTTCTGCCAGTTCATTCTCGTCTTCAGTTGTGATCTGCGTTAAAATTTTCAAACACTGACTAGAATTCTCTTCCTCGGTATGGTTACGATTCAGTTTCTACAACAGCTTCGTTCTCATTAAAACAAGGCTAGGTTAAAATTTGGAAAGGCAAAGTCAACATCCCAGTCCTCTGGGTTTACATACATATTTCAAAGTTTATTCGGTGGAAACTGAGAGCACTGTAAGTATTCACTCGTTAATGTGACGCTGGAGTCTTTTGAAAACTGGACATTATTGTGTCTGGCTCGAACTCGCTTCTATCTTGCTTTCGTTGGTCTTTGAAAAAACACTGCTAATGGAAAAAAAGCTTGTCAAGATGATCGGGAGCAGGTATTGCCTAATTTCATACCGCGCGGGGGTCTGGCACTACCGGATTTTCCCGGAC